TTTCTTAAGGACACAAATTTTAGATGTTCGTCTGCTGTAAGCATATTTTAGACCTACATTTCTTCTTTTGTCCTTCCCCTTGTCCAATTTCCTCATTTTTTCAGGACACGTGGATCATGCACATATATGCCATGTTTTCAGTTAGTAGCTGTTTGGAAATCACTTTGTTGGTGCAAAAATACCATTTTCTGTCCATTAGACTGTTTGAAAATATGTGTGTGGATGGAGTTTCCTGAGGAGCTTACTTTGATTGATTTCAGCATTAAGCTGATTCTGTTTGTTAAAATGTGAATGTTAAGAACTGCAATTAAATTATTTAACAAAAATCCAAAGAACAACTTAAAAAAAAAAATTAAAATGATAAACAAACATGTTCCGTCTAACTCTAGTTCATGTTCGTATATATTTATATCTTTACACAGAGAAACATTCATTACATAACTGATGCTGTTCTTGCATCATCCTGTTTCTCAGAAACGGCACACCTGTTGCTAAATAGTCGTCCAACTTCATTCCTGCATGCTGTGGATCATCTCCTGATATGACCTGAGCTGAACTCTTTCCAGTCACGGAGCTCCCAGGAGAACATTTTGATAATTTTTTATAGATAATGAAAACAAACACACTGAAGCTGAGAACATATGCTTCTTTTAAATATTAAAGTTGACAAAAAATTGTCAACTTTAAAAAATTAAAGTTGACAACTGTACCGGTTCTGTATACTGAAATTGAGCAAAAATAAACACATCATTTACAGCACCCTGAAGATGAAACTCGCTTCCGTATAACATGGGCAACTTCCTTCCATTTCAGATGTCATTAACACTCACATTGTATATCAGTGAATCGATGTCTCGTTCTCTCTTTGCATACAGCTTGATGTCATCCATCTACAGGGGGCGGCAGACAACTGCTCCGTTCCCTAGTTAGTATCCGTAGCCAGTCTTGTCAATGCTGTCACTGAGGGGGTTCAGGCCTATGCAAAACAGCAGTGCATCTCCTTGGTAGATCACTTGATGGTGACTTGTGCTATGGGCTTGAGTTTGGCCTCTAGTGTTGTAAGCCACATCCGAATTGAGTTCATAATGATGGCTCTTATGGTCCTGTTGATCTTGTATAGTTCTAGGTAGTCCAGGATTCAGCTGTGGGGCATTGAGTCACAGGCCTTCTTGTAATCAATCCAGGCAGTGCACAGGTTGGTCAGTCTGGTCTTGCAGTCTCGGGAAACGGCTCGGTCTACCAGTAGCTGGTGTTTTGCACCTCTGGTATTCTTGCCAATCCCTTTCTGTGCCCCACTCACGTAATGAGACAATATTTTATATAGTGAGAGAGAAAGAGAAATATGCAAATGGCTAACAAACAGCCATGATAATTCATCATACATTGAGAATAGCAGACAAATCAACAATACAGTTAATTCCAATTAATATCATGCTGAACACAGTCCAAAAGATTAAATAAGCCACATCAGTGTCTACTGTCTGTCTGCTGTTTACCATCACAGCCAAGTGGCTAACAAATGCCTCCACCAGTGTGTGAATGTGAGAGTGAATGAATAGTGGTATTGTAAAGCGCTTTGGGTGCCTTGAAAAGCGCTATATAAATCCAATCCATTAAATGTAAACAGATGTTTTTCCAATCCCTACTAATGAAGGTTAACTTGTTTCAGCACACATAATACCCGCCATTATCCAAAGACACATCTGCTTACCTGTATCATTTACTTGTTTCTCCTCTTCTTTTCTCTTTCTTTTTCTAAACTGAGGACCTGATGGCTTTGACCTTTTCCTGTCATCTTCCATCAGTAATTTTGCCACTATCAACACCCAACCCCACAACATAAACTAACAGACTAATAGACCTACACCTTGTATAGGTTTTTTTTCTAGGATTTTTACACAACCCAGGAAAAACAATTAATGAATAATGGGCTTGGATTGATGAATAAAATGTGCACTATTTGGAAGCAGCCCGCCCCCTCCCCTTTTGACTGGTTGTGTGTGAGACTTCAGCACAGCAGCAGCAGCAAGCAGGCGCACCGAGGGCCCTCACACTCACTTTTTATATATGTGCAAAAGAATTCAGAAAACACATCGGTGCAAATTATAAGCCTATATCAAAATGTCTTCAGTTTTTGTGTTTGTTGTGGGGCTGTCAACTTTAACGCGTTGATGCCATTATCACGATTAACGCAATTTACATTTTTAACGCTTGGACAGTCTTGGTTGTTGTGTCCTTGGGCAAGACACTTCACCCGTGGTCAGAGGGCCCAGTAGCGCCAGTGTCTGGCAGTCTCGCCTCTGTCAATTCGCCCCAGGGTGGCTGTGGCTACAATGTAGCTTACCATCACCAGTGTGTGAATGGGTGGATGACAGATTGTGTAAAGCGCTTTGGGGTCCTTAGGGACTAGAAAAGCGCTATACAAATACAAATACAGGCCATTTACCATTCATCTGGAGCGCAGAGTGGATAAACTTTGGACAAACTGCCCGAAATGCGTTGACAGAGACATTTCATTTTCAATTTGCGCTCCAAATTGTGTTAAAATTTTTAATCGTGTTAATCATGATGATGGCATTAACGTTGACGGCCCTAGTTTGTTGGTTTGTTTTCCTTTTGTTTTATTTTGCAAGTTGTTTATTAGATGATGCTTCAGCCAGCCAGAGAATCTCCTGCCGTCCCGTCCCCACCTTCCTGTCTGGCAAGCAGCAGGTGCACCTCGCGTATGGAGGGCGCCTTTACTCCTTGCAAATAGCTGATAGAAAACTGATCGGTCCCTATGCAATCCCCAAAATGCGCTGGCATGATGTCAGGGCAGCATGGGTGCGAGCAACTTTTTTTGCCGATCCCACGATGCCGACGTGTGCAATCGCCCATGTCGCTCATATCAAAAACCGCTACTGTGTTTACATATCCACTCGTATGCAGAGATGGGCAGTAACGCGTTATTTGTAGCGCGTTACTGTAATCTGATTACTTTTTTAAAGTAACGAGTAAAGTAAGGGATTACTATCACAAAAACAGTAATTAGATTACCGTTACTTTCCCGTAGGAACGCTGCGTTACTGCGTTACTAAAACCGTGATTTTTTTTGCGAGAATGTCTCATGACAGTGACGTAAGCAAGTGCAACGTTTGTGACAACAGCTGTGTGCAGATCAACAATGGATAACATATTGAGTGCGGGAGAGAGTATGAGCGTGCAGCGTTTAAAGCGTGGAAGTACTGACCTTACTTTGAGTTTGATTCCATAAAAAGTGACAAAAACATTAGTGTCCGTTGTGCGTGGGAAGAAAACTTCTTTTTACAGCGAAAAAAAACCCCTAAACTTCCGAGCAAGCACCGAGTAGCTACGAGGTAATGGGAAACTCACAGAGAAACTGCCGTATCCTTCCACTGACCGTGGCACACCTGCACCAGGGTAAACCTCTGCCTACCCCACTCCTGCTTTACAGGTGAAAATAGAGCAAAAGGACCGCTGAGTCTTTGATTTTATTTATTTTCTGCTGTGTTTTACTTGCATCTATTTGAAAGAGTGAGTGTAAACACACAAAAAAATATATATATTTTATGTGCTGGAATGTGCAGAAAATAGGTTTAAATGTTAAACAAATTTCTTCCAGTCAGAGAATGTTGCATATAATTAAATTTTTGCTTGATGCATAAAGTTAAAAGATTAAAACTAATAAAACAAGTTTTAAAAAGAGACTTTTCCATTTGATTACATTTTGTATGATGGATTATGCAGAAAAAGTAGAATTGGGCTGAAAGATCTATCGCTTTATCACCTCTTCAGGTTGTAAATCGTGTTTTTAAAAAGTAACTAAGTCACTAAGTGATTAATTACTTTTGAAAATAAGTAATCAGTAAAGTAACGGGATTACTTTTTTGGGGAAGTAATCAGTAATTAGTTACTGATTACTTTTTTTCAAGTAACTTGACCAACACTGTTTGTATGTAACCCACAAGTATAATCGCAGCATGGCTGCTGTACATCGAATGAGCTGACTCCGCCTCCATTCCAACCAACTACACATTTGACTCTTGTGGAACAGTGAAAGATGAGTTGGGTTTAACCTTAGGGTGTTTTAACACCTGTAGATCATTTACTTTGGTCCGAATCAGTTGATGAGTTTGTAAACTTAGCTTAGCTTTTTTCACTTTCTTTTGGTAGAAATCCAGGTGAATGAAAGTCTGCTGCTACAAACCACGAGATAATGTTCATTGGTCAGTTGTGTCTGGGGCAGAAGCAATAAAAATAAATACAGGAAGAGGATGCTGTGTAAGAGAACAGAGAATTTACATTCATTTCATGGCTAGTTGCTAACCTGTACAGAGCATTGCACATCTATAATATTGTCCCCCATTGAGAATTCAAAGCATTTGTGGGTACAGGATGTTTTTGTTTTTTTGTTTTAGCTCAAACTTGTAATGTACACCTAGTAGCTAGTTTGTAATTCTGATGCACGTGTGATTTCATTTGTACCACCTACAACCAGAATTCCTTCTTAAAGGAAATTTGAAATCTTGTCAGTGAAAATAGTGGAAATGATCTTTTTAGTTAACCAATTCTTTTTTGACATACTAAAACAAACAAACAAACCCCCCCCCAAAGCGATTGAAATGATCAGATATAAAATGTTTCCTTGCTACTCTTAAATTCCTTTTTATTTTAACAATCCTGTAACAGGCTCTTTGGTGTCTGTAAGGTGTGCTTGTCTTTGTCTCTATTAAACCCGTTATGCAACTACTGCAGGCGTGTCAACTGTGAAGCTACACATAAAAAATGTGTTGAACAGAAGCTTGAACACTCATCTCTCTCACCTGTGTAGTTACAACAAACTGAAGATAAATTATGACTTCATCTAAATCAGGTAAATATATATTTAATCTGGTGTGTTTATTGCTGTTGTTTTAAAAGGTTATATGTGATCATAATCACTAAAATACATGAAACTTATTGACATAACCTTTCAGATGTGTTAAACTGCAACATTGAAATATGTTCCAGGTCCTGATTTGAGGATTGTGATAATAGGAAAAACTGGTGTGGGGAAGAGTTCCTCTGGAAACACCATCCTGGGAAAAAAACATTTCAAATCTCGTCCCAGTTCAGAGTCAGTGACTGAAACCTGTGAAATAGCTGAAGCACAGTGGGAAGGGAGAAATATTTCTGTCATAGACACACCAGGGATCCTGGACCCTAAGAAATCTGCAGAGATGATCAAAAAGGAAATTGTGAGATGTGTTGAAGTCTCCAGTCCAGGTCCTCATGCTTTTCTACTGGTGCTCCAAGTCGGTCGATTCACGAAAGAGGAGAAAAACTCTGTGAAAGCCCTGCAGGAGTTGTTTGCTCCAAAAGCTCAACATTACATGATTGTGCTGTTTACCCATGGAGATGACCTTGAAGAGCAGGAAATCACCATGCAGCAGTATGAACGTGAAGCCAAACCAGAGCTCAGACAAGTCATCCAAAGCTGTGGAAACAGGTTCCACATCTTCAACAACAAAAGCAAAGACAGAAAGCAGGTGGAGGAGCTGATGAAGAAGATTGATGACATGGTGGCAGGAAATGCTGGCACATACTACACAAATGAAATGTATAGAGAGGTGGAAGAAAGGAAACAGAAACAAGCTGAGATGGAGGACGAAGAATACAAGTTCCTGAGTCAACTGGTAGAGCAGATTCGAAGTTTTCATTCACGTCTTAAAAGAGAATAATTCATTATCAGATGATTCAAACCTGTAGACAAATATCTTTGGTGTTAATTTGCTTTGACTCGCTTTGACCTTTTTGTTGACTGTAAAAAACAGAAGAAAAAATTAATCTTAGTTAAGATGAAAGAGTTTTAAAACAGTGATGATACAGCAAGCTGTGATGTGCTACAAAGAGTTTTTTATATTACATTTTTTTAAAGTAGACCTAAACGAAACACAGGTGATTGGATATGTTTTATGTTGTTTAATTGATTTTACTGAAAAATGTATGCTTTATGTTGATTTGTCAAAAAATAGGCTCAAAGGGTTAGGGACATAAATATTTTATATTTATGTAAAATATAAAATATTTTACATACATACATATATATATATATATATATATATACATATATATATATATATACATATATATATATATATATATATATATATATATATATATATATATATATATATATAATCTAGCTGAGAAGAATCTGGCTGAGATCCTCCAGATGGTTTGTTGGCCACACTGATCCTGTGACCAAACAGCCAGCTCTTCTAAGTAAGACCTCTCCTGTGTAATATGCTCTGACATTTTGAGTCTTTTAACATTCAACATTCAACTTCTATCTACAGATAGTATAATGTTATTAGACAAGCCTTAGCTTGTCAGAGATGAACAAGGGTGTTGTTGTCAGGCTTTAACAAACATGATAAAAAACTTGGACTGTGATGTGGAAATACCTGTAACACCTTTGGGTTTTCACTGGAAGTGATTTTATCATGTGTGCTCATAATAAACCACAAATATGTATGGTGGTGTTTTTTTTAATGATTCTTAAATGAATGTTGCAGAACAAGGACACAAGAAATTCTGTGGAAATGTTTTAGTCAACAAAACTGTCATTGTTCAGTTCCAGCTGGTATTTAAATTAAGCACCATGCAGAGGTGTTTTTGGGTTGGGTGCTCAAAGTTAAAAAGGGGCATATAGAACCAGGCTGAATAACAACAATCCACATGCATAGGAGTATAATATGGAATCAAAGATGGGGTCAGTGGAAAGCAAATGTAGCCTGTGTTTTACCAACACGTTCTCACTCCCAACTCGTCAAACGTGTGATGCATGGTCAGGCTCCCTCTGCTTCACTTGCGCTCTTACGTATTAAATAAAATAAAATTAAACAAATAAAAAAGACCAGCTTTTTTATTAGGCAAAAACATTTTTGGTGCTGTTAAAGAATTCACAGCAACTCACTTGTTTATTTTTGAGAAAGTTTATTTTTTTTATCATATTAGATGAGCGGCAGTGACGTCACCGTACTCGATCGTATCACAGGTAAGTACGAATCTGAACCTGTAGATTTTTTTAAAATTATTTTTCTTATTTAAAACTGCAAAAAAAAAACAAAAAACCCCGAAACAGTGAGCTCACAAAGCTGCTTTTAGCAGTTCTATGGGTTAAGATTAGCAATTTCGTGGAACAGTGAATGACTTAACATTTAATAGCATATATGTTACCACACCACATGTGCTGTAAGCTAGCTAAATTCATTTCTGTTAGCCAATCAAGTTAAGCTTATCATATATCATCATCCAGGGTACAGTGATAGAGAAGTGTGTGCTGACGTTTGCTGTTGTTGCCACTTTGTAAAGTTTGAGGGTTCTAATAAGGGTCAGTGTTGCCAGATTGGGTTGATGCTCAAATTCAAGATAGACGTTATCTATCAATCTAGCTCGCTCTTTCTGGCTCTCTCTCTTTCTGGCTCTCTCTCTCTCTCGATTAAAAACTTAATAACAGCATTACATAATCATTAAATAGCAGACCGATCATCTATGCTGCAAATGCAAATGAAATACAAATGGACAGTAAACAGGGTTTATCTAAATCGTTACAATAGGGTTTAATGTATATATTTATTTATAAGGTGCTTCTGAATTCTGAATACTTATTTTTTTCTGAACAGGTTCTTCATCAATCAGCCTATTATTGCTTCCTAAATCTGCTTTTTGAAAAACTCCTAAAAAAAAACTTTTAAGAGCCACGTCAGTCTGTTTGCATCTGTTCTTACTGCTGTCCTTATTGGTCTGTCTCTCTGTTTCTATCCGCATTTTTGTCTCTTTAACTCTTCAGCTTTTTTTTTGTCAGTGTGCTGGTTAACCTATAATTTGTCTGCTGCCTTTTCTGTGTGTAATTATTCTCTGTTTCTGTCACGGTTCTGGGTCCGTTGGACCCAGCAATTGAGTTTATTATGTTTTTGTTTACTTTTGCATCATGGATTATTCTTTACGTTTCTCTGGTACTTTGTGTTTCAGTTATCTTGGTGTTTTGGATTGTTTTCTCATTCTCTAGTTGTGATGATGTTTATTATTAGAGTTTCATGTTTCTTTTTATCCATGTTTTAGGAATTGTGGTTTCATGTATTATTTTCTGTCCGTGTCTTTTAGTAGTGTTTCATGTTTCCTGTTTTATTGTGAAAGTCTTTGTCTTAGGTTAGTGTGTGCAGCTTTGTTCCCCTGTCTCGTTAGCCCTGATCTCTCCCAGCTGTGTCTCCCTCCTGTTGCCCATTCCCTCATTACTATCCTGTGTATATAAGCCCTGTGTTTTCCCATGCTTGGTGTCGTGTCGTACCCTCAGTTCCTGCCTGTGTGTTCCTGCTTGGTTTCATGGTTTGGTTTCTGTTTTTGTTTCATGCCAGCAATAAAAGCTGTGGTTTTGAGTTACATTTTGTCTCAGAGTCCTGCATTTGGATCCACATTTCCACCTGCCCGCACACAGAGCCCTGACAGTTTCAACATGACACGCCCCAAATTCAGGCCCTGTACATCTTGCCAGACTCCCAATCAAGCAAGCAGAAGAACCTACTGTGTCTGCTTCGGAAGTCTGTCCACCAAATAGAAGCTAAAAGAAAAAGTAGAATCATTGGATAGCCAGTGGGCACAAGTTGTCTTGAAAAACAGAAATGTTGGCCGGATAATTGATTCTGCCCGTATTGCAGTAAGTAAAAATTCTTTTGTTTCATATATTGTCATTAAGCTGTTATAAGATGTTGCTGGCACATTAACACAGCTCATCATATGTGCTTTTGAGAACATGCAAAAATATTTTATCTACATTTTGCTAAAGACAAACAATTACTTTAACTTTAATACATCAGTGGTGGCTGTATGTATTCATATTAGTATGAAAGTGTAAATGGTCTGTATTTGTATAGCACTTTACTTATGCCCTAAGGAACCCAAAGCACTTTACACTACATCCAGTCATCCACCCATTCACATACTGGTGATGGCAGGTACATTGTAGCCACAGCCACCCTGGGGCGCAGTGACAGAGGCGAGGCTGCTGGACACTAGCGCCACCGGTCCCTTTGACCACCACCAGTAGGGTGAAGTGTCTTGCCCAAGGACACAACAATTGAGACTGTCTGAGCCGGGGCTCGAACTGGCAACCTTCCGATTACAAAACGAACTGCCAACTCTTGAGCCACAATCGCTGTGTGTGAATGCTTAAATGGAAACTTTTAAGAAGCTGGTTTGAATATGGGTTAATATTGCATGTTGTATAAAGCACTTTTAGTGCTCCACGAGAGTAGAAAAACGCTATATAAGAGTCATTTTGTTTACCATTTAACAACAGGCTGTGTTGGACTAATTTGTGCCAACTATTTATTTATTTTTATTAATTTCAGGTGCGGAAACTTGAGTCTATAGGCTACAAGCCCATTTTATTTATTAGCAAAAAAGACAAGGATTCACATAAGCGGGTAGCAGATGTTATTACCCATTTGGACCCCACTTCTACTACAAGAAATTTTCTGGAGAAGATGCAGAGGGCTTATGAATTTTTACTGTCTAAGGGTAAGAGTGAAGTCTGTTGTTTACTTTCAGTCCAGTTAATTAATGCTAATTTATATAGCAACATTTCACAACAAGTCGTCTCAACTTGCTTTCACAATCAGAATACTTCATTAATCTTTAAGCAAATTGTGTAAGTATATTTTAAGGTCATTAAATAACCATTGAAGGATATGTTATCAAAGACTTGGTTCACACTGCAGGTCTTAATGCTCAATTCCGATTTTTTTGATCAAATCCGATTTTTTTTTTTTTGTCTGCTTGTTCACACTACAAATAAAATATGACAGCAAACGCGCTACAGTGTGAACCCTCAAAGCGGCCCGCAAGCGCAAAAGAAGACGTCACACACATTGCGCTCTGTTTAGACCCAGAACAAACAGTATTGTTTGACTGATGGCACTTATTATAAAGACTTGTTTCGGACTTTATGTTTCCCAATTTTGCTTTAAGTTATTTTGTTATTTACATATGGCCCAATAATGATCCTTATTGCTGTTTTAGAGAGGAGCGGTGCTTCAAAGGGTAATTTCAGATTTCTGTCAGAATCTGCAAATTATACAGTATAAATAAAATGTTCACGTTTCTCCAACGTTGTCTTCCCAACAGTTTAGCTGGATGGCCAGGAAGGGTTCACGATGTCTTCTCTGGTGCTTCTCTGGCGCTGATAATTGGTGTCTGTCTTGTGTCAGTGACGTGGAAGACCGATTTAATGTGACATGACCGTTCAAACAGCAGTCGCTTTCTAAAATATCAACTATGTATCGGATTCAGTACCACATACGAAAGTGACCCAAATTGGATTTGAAAATATCGGATTTGTGCTGTTCACACTGTCATACCATGATTGGATATGGGTCGCATAGGGTCAAAAAAGTTGGATTTGATGCGCTTTCGCCTGCAGTGTGAACGTAGCCAAAGTGTAGTTCCTGCTAAATATAAGGCCTTTTTTGTAAAATATTTTTATGAAAGTAAATATGTTTTATAGGAACCTCCACACCAGTGCACCCCAATACCCCCACAGAACAGAAGCTTGTGCAGTCCAAGAATGCCACCAAGGAGCATTGTGCCGACAAACAGACCCACATCAAAGAGCACGCATAGATCCCCAGTGAAGAACAGGCAGAGACCCTGATTAACAAGCAAGCAGAGAGCCTCGCCA